TCTGCAATTATTAATTATGTGGCATTATATACCCTTAGGACATGGAGTAACCGTCTTTAGTTCTTCACCAAAGAAGTTGATTTGATTGTGTGAGTGGAGTTTATGATACACAGATCAAATTTCTTGTATCATCGACTGCAGATGATTCTATGTTTAAGCTATCTGTTTGGGTTGTCTCACATTTTAATTCATTTTGAGGTTGTCGATGTAACTTCGGATTCATGGTTATTTACCAAACGGAAAGAATAATGGGTTGTATTTTTCTTATAGTAGAATATCCTTCATAAGTTGCATTGTCACTTATATTATGTGACTGTCAAGTCTCGAGTGACAACAAAGAGATCCACGGTTACAAATCCAAGCATTCTTACATTATATATATATATATATATATATATATATATATATATATATATATATATATATATATATATATATGCCTAGATTCTAGACTGATGGATTGTTGATTCTTAATAGGATCATATGAACATTTTAACCACAAGGAATACGTCTTTTTCTTGATTTATATAGTCGATTGCAGGAAAAGAATATCACAAGTGTTTTGAGCGCTTACTTGAGTGCTATAATTTTATTTTCGATCGCTTGTGCTCACTTGAGTGTTAATGCTTTTTTTCATATTGCGTTACTCTCATGTAACTTTTCAAAATGTGTCATAATTTTATTAAAAACTGCCATATCGGGTTTTTGGCAATTGGGCAAATGTTTTTAAAAAGTTATGTCATTTAAGTGATCAATTGAAAGTTACGAGACTCAAGTGAATATTTTTGTAAAGCAATGGCGCTCAAGTGATTGAAAAAAAAATCATGGTACTCAAGTGTGTGCCGTACGAAAATTTTGACACTTGCGATGTCCATATCCCGTCAATTGTGATTTCAATGTCTCCTTTTAACACATTATTTCAATGGGCAAATAGGGTTTTTTGGGCTTTTGTTTTGTGCCTGGGAAATGATACATATGCTTCTTTCCCAACTTTGATCCATACTAAAGGGCATCCAATCTAGAGTTTGTTCTCATTCATCTGTGGCTAACCCACTGTAGGAACACGAGATAAACGCATCCTTTCATGTCCATAGCGTGACTACACAATCTGTTCAACTATGATTATAACGGCTTTAACTACCAAAAAATTGCTCTAAAGTAGTACTTTAGCCATTTCTATGTCGTACATTTTCTAAAACCATGGACCTGACTCAGAGAGAGTTGCATCTTCTCTACGATGGAACGGCCTACGGTAAACAAAGAGGTCATTTGTTCAAATTCTATTAACTGCATGCAAATTACTTTAGGTCATGGATCATATGCTAAAGGCTGGAGGGTTGGATATACAAGTTCATCAGGCTGGTAGGGTGTTCCAAGGGCTTTTAGATAGTCGGATCTCTGCGCACATGCGCTTGTGCCGTAAATGAAGTGTCTGCTATGGATGAGATTAGTGTCGAATTAAGAGAGGATTTTCTCCTAATTATTTAAAAAATAAGAAATGGGCGGTTCTTTCACTCTCTGACATCCGGTGATATGCAAATTTTAAGGTTTATATCTAGTTTGGCAAATGTATTTAATTGGGTTTTAGGGAGTCCATGATTGGATTTGAATAAATGTTTGTGTTGGGAGTCCTTTGTCGAATTTGTACATATGTTGGAATTAAATAATATTTAGTAACATTGTTAGTGACATTAGGTGGAGGATAAATGCATTTAAGTCCGTGAAAAACAAAATTATTTTGGGCCACAGGCAACTCTGTGAGAGATGGGATACAGATTGCTAGTTGTTTGTACTAGTAAGTGGGCACAAGCAGCTGTTCATACTTGTACATTTTCTTGATGAGTAATGCAAAACCAAATGATGAATTGCCAAAAAAAAAATTGCTCACTAAATTCGTAGACATAAAAAAAAATTTATATGAGAATGTTTTTCTTTCTGAAATATGAGACTTTGATGAGAGATTTCTCTTTATTTATCTGGTTTAAAATTCGGCCTCATGGAGATGACTATGCATAGACATTCGACTTATGAGTTCCTTATTTTTTGTTGGGGCATCCAATTCAAGAAAACTTGAGCATATATCGCATGATTGGCCTTATCCATCATTAATTTGAGGATTATGACTATCCATTCTCTCAAATCAATAGTTGAAAAGGCCGCATTTGTATTTTCTTTCTGACATTGTCAACGTATACTATAATTACTCATCAGGTTACAAGTACAAACCTTCAAAGTAGTGCAATGGCACCATTCTATGCACACTTTAAAAATAAAAAAATTGATTAGGCATATGCTGGTCCCAGATTAAGCCTAAAGAACAACAAGGTAAGTCAGATTAGAGGGCCACCGTGCTATGAATGCTTTGTTACAATCTTGAATGATGTGTAGATGGACACTTTAAAGTTTGATGGATTCGTGTTCGTGCTAAAAGATGGGTCTCCCAAGAATGCCTCATGCATTTATCCTTCCAAGAGATTATTCTTCTTTATTTGTCACCTGAATTATGATTTAATTTTTATACCCTCCAAGTAATTCTTTTGATGGCTTCTCCTCTAAATTAAATCTTGGCACATCATGAAAATTTGTGAGTGAATAGTGGTTGAGATATAAGGGGGAAAAAGTTTACCGAAAAGTCTAATGCAATCGATTTCTAGACCTTTTGATTGATAGAATAGAATCTTAACACCGTTTCTTTGAAAATAATAATAAAGTTCCACCGATGAATAATGATGAAAATTGGCTGCTTGATATACTAAAACTTTGTCTACGAAAGAGCCTTACGTCGTATTTTTTCGACCCAACAATGGCTATTTTGTTACGACTCCACTCGACTTGCTGGCCCTTAGCTACTACGGTTGTTATGAGGGCCGAGAAAGGGTTTTAAAATCGAACCTCTTTTTTCAAGGGAAACAAGAAAAGGATTACGAGGGACCGGGAGAAATTAGGAAGGATTAGTAAACTAAATTTTATGTACATTTCGAGGGATTTGAGTATTAATAAACAATGTTATTCCTTTTTCTCATTTATATCCTTATTTTAAATCTATCTTTAAATGTGCAAAAGGATCTTTATCTCATAATATATTATTTTCCCTCTCTTCCCTCGCTTGCATCTAAACAATATATTTACCCAATCCACATTTATGTGCCGTTTCTGTTCTCCTCTCATAATTTTTTCATTACTTTCTAATCACTTCTACCGAACATAATTAGACTTGGTTAAACTTTCTGATAAAAAGTTTAGGATGTAGGTGCACCAATTGAAATGATTTAGGAGTCAATTGCATCATATATTAGGGTCAAGAACTTTTGCGCAATTTTTTCGATCATAATCTTTAATTATTAAACTAGATTATATTTTTATTTAGATCAGATGTTAGGGTTTGGCAGACCAACTTTGGATTTTGATTGGAAGACATATGCTTCTAGCAACTTGCACATAGGATAATTAAACTCAATTAAATTCAGGGAACCTATGTTAGTAATTCATGTGAATTGTGATTGGTGTTGCACTGCCCAACCTTAGACAATTACCAAGTGACATTCATTGAAATGATCAAAAGTAGTACATTAGGTGCATTCCAACATATCCATGTATAGTGCTAGTGGAAATCAATGTAAATATGAGGAGAAAGCTTTTATCTATACCCGAGCTCATAAGTTTTTGGGCATTAAGTAAATAATTTTCCTCACAAGAAACCTGATGAAACATGCATTGGTGCATTTAAGTATCATAAACTCATATGATATTTTACAGCTTTAAATGAATCAACCGACGAAATCGATACTTTCCAGAGCTTATTTCAAGACCACTTGGTGCAGATTTTTTATTTGCAAGGCATCTCTATAAAATTCGATAAACTCATCAAAGAATTTACATCTGAAGACAAATTTGACTTATATTGAATAACATGCAAAACTTTTTTTTTTGTTCGAAGAATAACATACAAAACTTGACCTTGAACCTCATCACCACAACACCTCAAAAATAGATTCCCAGAAAGCAGCATCATTTTGGGCCGTGGAAGAATATTGGGCCGAACAGAGGGCGGCCCAAAAGAATAATAAGGGAAAAATATTTGAATAAATAATATTCACACAACATATTAAGATAATCTTCGCAAAAATATTTACAAAATAAAAAAAAATGAAGACAACTTAAAATATATGAATAATGACATAAATGATTCCTAAATTTCGATTCAATATGCAATGTGGTCCCTTCACTTTCAATTTGTTCGATATGGCTCTTGAACTTTAGCCTAATACGCGATGTGATTCCTGAATTTTTAATTTTTTTAATGTGGTCCCTAAATTTTAACCCAACATACAATGTGATCCCCAAACTTTTAATTTATTCCATATGGTTACTAGAATTTTGGCATATGTTCAAATTAGTTCTTGAGCTATATGAAGAAATTGGACGTTACCCTTCTATTAATTCAAGTTCAGGGATAACATTAAACGTTTTCACATAATCTGGGGACTAAATAGTTTATGAATCACATCGAACAGATCAAAAGTTCATGGACCACATTACACACTCGAAAAAGTTTAGAGATCACGTTGAAAAATACATTGCACATGATATTAAAGTTTAGGGATGATTCGTGTTATTATCCTTAAAAAAAAAAAAAAGAACAGAAACGATGATAGAATCGCCTGGACAACCGACTCGAAACAATTTAAAAAATAAAGAAATATCGTCGTTGTCTTTTTACTCCATCGTCTCTGTCTCGCGATTCGGTGCGCGACCTGTTCCTCCTGTCCAGCGCCACCCCCTCCCTTCCGATCGGCGGCGAATCACGATCCGGCGAAGGGTAAAGCTCGATCTCTCTCCGGAAGCCCAACTTCTCGCGACTGCTGTTTCCGGAATTCGCAGGCGGCTCTGTCCCTCTTCGTGGGTTCGTTTCTTCTTCTTCCTCGTTTGCAAATTCGTCTTCAACGTCGCATCATCGTTCCGTACCTGTCGAAGATTCGAACCGCCGGCCCCTCCCTCCGTTAGCCGATTCATCGCGAATTGTGTGCATTTCCAATTCGTGCACTATCTGGGCAGCTGGGTTCTGTTTTTGGTTTTCGTGTTTTCTCGTTTGTGATTCGAGCTTCGGTGTGTCCCGGAGTGCGGTTTGGGAAATGGTCTGGAGCGTGTCCCATCGTTTGGGGTTCAAATTCGATCGATACGAGCTGGGTATCTTTCAAGAACGTGAATTGGGTTTCTGGGTTAACTTGCTGGTAGCGCAAAACGATGGCGTGGCTCTCGCTTGCTTGTCTGCTTTCCATCTTAACCCTCTACGGGAACTGACTCCCAGGAGCTTAGGTAGAGGCTTGTGTCACTGCTAAAGTTTTTCTTGGGTGACCGGCGTATGACTTTATTTCACACGGTAACTCACCGAGCTTCCGCTACTGCTCTCGCCTTCAGTGGCTTCACTCTTGTAAATGTTGGCTCGACGGTTGAGGTCTCACCTTTTGAAGTCTTACCAGAAATTCTAATCTAGCATCTTTCCCTGATGTGTTGGGAACTCTATCGACCCTTATCATCGCAACTTATGAAGTCTACTGGTGATTTTGTTCTTGCCCATGTGTAGCCTTTTCTTTGGTTGGCTGCATTGTATTGACACTGGCCTGCCAAACAGGTTCTTACATTGGAAGTCTATTGATGATTGAAATCCCGCCTCATTGCTAATCTTTTCTCAGGTGCTCCACTATCTGGGATCTAGATGAGAAGCACGGTTTTGGCTAGGATACCGATTGATTTGACTCTTAGAAGAATTTATTCCTAAAGCCAGCTATTAGGTGATAGAGCGATAGAGTTTCTTCCATAACCAATGTACTGCATAATAGCGGTTCTCTTTTGATATGCAGTTTTCTTGTCCAATGCCAAATACTATTTTTGCTTAGTTTGTTTGGGAGATGCAGCCTTGACAGTGCTCTTGGTTTTATACCTTCCTTTATTGCCTTTTTGCGTTCTGTTCGATAATCATGTGCAGCAGTTTCAAAATGTTAGTAGATGAAGTGTTGGGGTCTTAGAAATGCTTGCACTTATTTGTACTTTCACTTCATGTAAGTTCCATGGAGGTACCGCACCTTTTCTTAAGTTGCATCGTCATTTAAATGTTTGACTTTGTGCTTAGCATATTCCTACAATTGATAATAGACAAAATCCTAAGTTATTTGTAAGGATTCTTGAGATAGTACAGCTCATTGATATTACACCTTTTGATGGCAGAATCTTACATGTGGTAGTCTTGCTTCCCATAGCCTTACTAAATATACTGTTGATGACTGTTCCCTCCTCCTCCATGAGCTCTACCGTTTCAACGCCACATGGTATGCTGCCACCAGCAAGGCTTGGTAGTTATGATTCTCCTATTTCTGGGGCTTCCGGGTCATTTGCGCAGCCTGAACAAGAATTTAATGACAACGATGAAACGGAGCTACTATCGGTGTCTTGGAATCAGGACTATGGTTGCTTTGCTGCAGGCACGAACCGAGGCTTCCGTATCTATAATTGTGAGCCCTTTAAGGAGACTTTTAGGCGAGACTTGAAAAGTGGGGGATTTAAAATTGTTGAGATGCTATTCCGTTGCAACATTCTAGCTCTCGTTGGTGGTGCTGCTAATTCCCAGTATCCGCCAAATAAAGTTCTAATCTGGGATGATCATCAGAGCCGGTGCATCGGTGAATTTGCGTTTAGGTCAGAAGTTCGTGGTGTGAAATTAAGACGGGATCGAATTGTCGTTGTCCTTGAGCACAAGATATATGTACACAATTTTATGGACTTGAAGCTGCTCCATCAAATTGAAACTGTGGCGAATCCTAGGGGACTCTGTTGCCTCTCTCAGAATGTGAATGCAATTGTTTTAGCTTGCCCTGGTCTTCGTCGAGGACAGATTCGGATCGAGCATTTTGGACTTCGTATGACGAAATTCATCAATGCACATGATTCTCAGGTGGCTTGCTTAACCTTGACAATGGATGGGCTGCTTCTTGCAACTGCTAGTGCTAAGGGTACTCTGATAAGAATATTTAACACGATGGATGGAACTCGGTTGCAAGAGGTAATGGGCCATGCAAAAATTCACCTACTGAGTTTATTCTCCTTCTTAAATCATTGCATTTTGAAGGATATGCTGGTGGAGAAATCATTTTATTTGCTAGGTATATGAAGGTATCGGATGAAAATGGCAAAGGCAGTTTTTTGACGATGTTTCAACCTAGGTTATAAGGAACCGATTTTTTGATTTGGAGTCAATTACCATGCGAATGCAAACCTATTACAGTGAATGATCATCTATAGGGTCTTGTTAGGTTTGGATTCACATTCAAACTAACTGTTCTCTTATTCATTTCTTATGCTTTTCAATAGGTACGTAGAGGAGTGGACAGAGCTGAAATTTACAGCATTGCCCTCTCGCCTAATGTTCAGTGGTTGGCTGTGTCTAGTGATAAAGGTACTGTCCATCTATTTAGTCTCAGAGTCAGAGTAGCAGGCGAGGATTCTCCTGCACATTCAGACATCTCTCAAAGTCCAGCACTAGCTTTCCAGAATTCTTCTACTTCGCTTGATGCCCTCATTTCTACAAGCACTGGTGCCAATCCAGGTTCATCATTGTCTTTTATGAGAGGTACAGTTTGAAATATCTTTGAGTAGGAATAGTAGTAATGGAGCCGATATGCCTGATGGCTTCCTTACATGTCCGATTGAATTTCTAGCCTAATTTGTAGAGAAACAGAAGGATAGCTTTACACGATCTGGTTTGAAGTTTGAGAAAATACCTTAATGAGGGTATGGATGTTGCCAAATGCATTATGTCTGGAAATATTCGATGGGTTGGACATTTTTATTTGTAGCTGCTTGGGATTTAAGTGAAGCACATATTTTGGACTTTTAAGAAATGCATCTGTTGGTTTCGGGCTCTTCTCATCAAAACATCCGGAATTTGATATGCTGCATAAATATGTACCTTGACTCTTGAGACAGAATGTACTCTGTAGGAACTTTCTCTCTGATGTCTTTGTGATTCTGCCTTCTTTTCCAGGGGTCTTACCAAAATATTTTAGCTCAGAATGGTCATTTGCCCAGTTCCACTTACCCGAAGAGACTCAATTTGTTGCAGCTTTTGGATCCCAAAATACTGTAATAATCATTGGCATGGATGGGAGGTAAAGGTTTTCCTAGTGTTGTTCTAGTTAGTTTTGTCGATTTTCTTTTCTGTCTTTCAGGTCAATTCTGCAAAGCCGACCTCTGGATTTTCTGTTTCATTTCTAAGCAATGAAATGGCTACATTATCTGAAGCAATGCTTCCCCTCTAGCTATTTCTGTGATATAACACTTTTATTGGCTTTTCTTTTTTCTGCAAAATGCCGGCTGTCTTCTAACCGTCCTTATGTGTTTTTTTCCCTGTTGATTTGGAAGAGAACTATGTGATGGTGGTCTCTCTCTTATCATCTTCTGATCAACTTTTTCTGATACTTGCTTAAAGGAAGCAGTTGGCGTAGGCTATTACTTTTTCATTTTCTCAATTAATAACTGGATCTGGCATTTGGACGAGGGATATGGTATTTATTCAATGAAGCTACCATATGAGTTTCTCTTATTCAACGTCAAGATATAAGTTGAGTGGGTTGAGGGAAAGCATGTAAGTAAGTCGTAGCACTGCAATGAAAGTCCAATGGTTTATCCAGACATATGGCCTACTTTATAGCTTTTCTAGATGAAACTGTTGAACTTTATTTGCACAATTGGGGTAGATGACTACACTGCGAGTAGATAATTACCACGAGTCACTGCTGAACCCGTAAAAAATAGCAAGCTATTGCATGAGTCACCTCAAAGAAATAGTTGACGAGGGAAAAAATGGTGAAGGTTAAGAAATACGGAAAATGCGGGGTGCTTCACTTCCTAGTGAACAATCCCACTTACTCCTGAAAGTGCTTTTGATACTTTGGTCCCATAACCGCTTCTCTTCTCACCGTTCACCCTTTCCCTTGCTTTGGAAGGTGAAGACATGATATTTGGTGATGGAGCATTGGGATTTTAAAACATCTAGTTCCTTCACATTGTCAGGCAAACTTGTTCCTGATTTTTTGAAAAGCATGCACGATGTGCTTTTCAATTTCGATGTAGCGATGTTTTTCTTTTCCTTCACAACTTAAGAGTTTTGACTCTAATTGATCATTTTGAGAGATTTTACCCCTCTCTCTCTCTCTAACGCATTTTTTTCTCCATGTATTTTCAGTTTCTACAGGTGCAGTTTTGATCCAGTTAATGGAGGGCAAATGGTGCAGCAGGAATATAATCGTTTTCTTACAAGTGCAAGTAAGCCTAGATAGGTTTGTCAACAGCATTGAACACGCTCTCTCTATTTTCGAATTTTATGATGTATAAAGTGTACATAAGATTGCAAGGTGGCTTAATGATTGCCCTACTTATCTTGCATAGATATGTTGAACGCATCTACTTGTGATCGCGGTGCATTAGTATTTACTGGCCAGTGGCATATGTACATGAAGTAAAATCAGTTGAAAGTATAACTTTGAATGGCTATCGTTGAACTTGTAAATGTGGTTACTCTTTGGCTTTCGAGCGTCATTCTTTGCTATCATGACAGATAAATCTTTAAAGACTTTGTATTAGGACATAAATTATGGCTGGTTCCTACTTGAGAAGTGAAGATTCGTGGCCAATCTCATGGGGATTATACAATTCCTGCAAAGAGTGTCAATGGCTTCACCCGGTGGTGACCCAACTGGCCTGTTTAGTGGTCGATGAAACTTTTATTAGATAGAATTACTCTGTCCATCCCAATAATATTTCAGATAACATGTCCCCAAAACCTAAAATGCTATCACCTCATTAGGTCACCCCATTGTCAGAGTGCATTGTGTGCAAAATTGCCCCATTGTCATGAATCTTGCTCACTTCCCTGTGAAATAGACTGCGTCAATTCGGGACCTGAATGCCTCTTGCTGCAATGAGTTTCCTCCGTGCTATTTTAGCTCGTCATTGAAGATGACCATAGTGTTGGTTCAATTTTACAGATTCCGTGATAGTTAAAGCCGGAATTTAACATTAACTCATTGGTCGAAGAAGCTGAAAGCTTTTTACCCCTAAAGAGGAAGAGAAAAGGAATGGGGAAAGAACACAACACGATGAAATCAAGAAACTGTAGCAGTGACTTCTGCAACAATCTCATTATTTGCAAAGAAAAAATTGTCTGAAAGCAAAACGCCGTAGCGAGGTAACTTCTACTTGCATGTAGACACAAATGCAGCCCAGTGCTTAACATCTGGTGGATCAGAAAAGAGGATCCAGGGAGACAGTGCGACTAGGATCCTGCATCCTGACAGGAACATCAGACCCCACATAAGATGGTTGCTATACGTTCGAGCTGGATGTGAAAATGCTTTTCTTTGGGGAAGGTGGATCAAGAATTATACACGGATGCAAGGGGAAAGAACAAAACATGATGGAAACGAGAAAGTTTACCAGTGACTGCTGCAACAAACTTACTAGTTACTATATACAAGGAAATTATTGTATGAAAACAAAACTTGGTATCTTAGTCACTCCTTGAATGGTAGATACATATACGGCCTGCAGGAGCTTAATAACTGGTTGATTAAAAAGAGGATCCAGGGAGATGGTGAGACTAGGATCCTGCATCTTGACAGGAATGTCAACTCCCGACAGAAGACTGTTGCCATACATGACGGCCCCAGCTGCTGCCACCGCTCTGTGATTCTGAAATCACGCCCTCCCAAGCTACGTCCTGTCGCTCCTCCAGAAGATGGCACGTTTATGTAACTCCCCTGGTTATAATCTGTTCTCGCATGGGGAGCATGCAAATAACGGGTCCTTTGAGGTGGGCCTAATGCAGGATGAGGACAAGGAGTCGGAATTGGGCCTTGATAGCTCGGACTGCTTGCCGGTGTGTAGCTTGGTCCGATGCGGTGTCGGCATAGATGATGGGGAAAGGGGTGGGGTGAGTGTTGGGTTTCGATTTCTATCGGTTTTGTTGCTCGTGAGCAGCAAGGGGCAAGGGCGTTGGCCCTGCTGGGAAAGCTGGAGCCCAGAGCTAATGCATTCTCCCTGGCCAAGTCTATAACGTCTGGCGGTTGTTATTGTCCATGAGCACTATCCTCCTTCATTACCTGCAAAACCCAACCATACCAATCAAATAACATCAACTAGAATTTTGATTTTGGCAGACATGAGCACTAAATCCAGATATGATCAGTTGATCCAACCGATTGACCCATAAAACTCCACAAATGGATTGATATGGATGGTTTAGTATTCTATCCTTTCAAAACATATAAGCTATTCTGCATCAAGTACCTCTCTATTCTAGCACTTCACTTATGTAAAGATATAGAAAACAGCTAATTAAACATGAAAGAAAATGTGAGGAACTTGTATAAAAACTTGGTTCATCTCCTTCCTCGGGCACACAAATTGAAACATCCACAAATCCTCACTTAGATGAGAGTCTTAGCTTCACTACATATCAGGAAAAGAATGGGAAAGATTCTACCCCAAAGAAGAGAAAAAAGAAGAGAAACAAGAAAATGGGAAAGAACACGAGATGATGGAAACAAGAAAGTTTAGCTCAGTTGGCAAGATCTTACTCTTAGAATTGGGAGGTAAGGGTCTCGATCCTCACTCCACGCTTTGCCTCACAGGGCGATGCATGAGTGATGGTGCTGCTTCGATCCCACCTTTGGGTGCCTAGTTTGAACCCATCCATGTGTTCTCACATTGGACTTACCCAGGTTCAGTGGTGGGGCCCTGCTGCACCCCCACGGGGAGTCTACATGCCGTAACCGGCATAAGCAAGGACGGGCTGGATTTGCCCGATGGTCATTAAAGGAAATCTTACTACATGCAAAGAAACCATCGTATGCAAAAGAAAACTTTATATCTAGGTAACTCCTGCTTGCACAACAGATTCAAATACAACCTACAAGAGCATAATAACTGTTTGATCAGAAAAAAGGATCCAGGGAAATGGTGAGACTAGGATCCTGTATCCCAACAGGAACTTCAAATCCCCAAGACCATCGCCGTACATGAGAGCTGGATGTGAAGAATGTTTTTCTACGTGGAGAGATGGATTGAGAAATATACATGGAGGAAGCTAGAGGTTCGAGAGTCGGTCACATCCAAGTTTCGGTGCAAGCAGTGTAAAGCTCTGTATGGATCTAAGTAGGCTCCAAGTGCATGGTATGGCAAGATATGGGAGTTCCTTGTGCAAAGCACATGTTCAGTTACATCAACGGATTCAAGCCTCTTTGCCAAGGCATAAAAAGTTAAATTGGCAATAGTGCTAGTTTATGCCGATGATTTAATTATTACTAGAGATGAAAGGGAAGATACTCGACAAATCAGAAATAATCTTTCTCTATTAGATTCCAAATTAAGGAGCTGGAGAACTTAAGCATTTATTAGGCTTACAAAAAGACCGGAGAAATGACGGTTTATTTAAGCCAAAGAAAGATATGCCAAGAAATTGTTACAAAAGTTTGGCATGATTTGACTGTAAGCCAATCTTCGAGCAAATGGAGGTAAATGGAACGTTAAGAGCTGAAGAAGGTAAAGATTTGCGAGATGTGACTATGCCTTTGATGATCGGTAAGGAGCCTAAACTACTTACATTAGCGAAGCATGACATCCTACGCTGTTGGGAGTTGTTAGCAGATTCATGAAAATCTGAAAGTCACATTTGGAAGCTATCCACATAATATTGAGATACATGAGTGCAATGATTAATTTTAGCATTTTATACGAGAAACGCGAAAGCTGTGAGTTAGTTGACTATTGCGATGTTGCTTACGCTGGCATGTTATGTGTGAACTCAGATCGGAAGCAATATCATGATGTAGCAAGAGCCAACCAACGGTGTCACTACTAAACCACCGAAGCTGAATAAAGTACATGGTTGGTTATACTGTTGAAAGATCTGCTTCTGTCGGTGGATTCTTCGGATTTTTGCTTGGCAGAAACTGCAATATTTCATGCCAGAACCAAGCATGTGGACGTGCACTATCATTTCATCTGTCAAAAGGTGAAGCCTGTAAATGCAATTATTAAGTGGCTGATATATCCACCATAAGTCTCAACTCCGCCAAGTGTGAGAGTATCAAAAGCTACTAGCCATGACAACATGAGATTCGAGCCTGTGTCCAGGGGGAGTGTTAGAAGACATCAACAGACCTGGATTTCATGGTGAATGCTTTTGTGCACGATAGATTTGTTTCCCAGAATCACTCTCAGCCTTACAAAGTGTACTAACGATTAGAAGGAAAGTCTTAGATCTCGAGGCTGTGCTAGCGCGCCTTGCTCTTATAAGTGGTGAGTTCCTCTTCGTGCATTGTGTGAGGGAAAATAAGCAGAAAACTCCATTTAGTGTCTGCAGAGTGTTCAAGAGAGACTTGGTATTTGTGTTAATGGTGTTTGTGTGTGGGGGCAGTGCAAGGAGAGCGAGTGGAATTAATAGAAGAGAGATGTATTTGTCCATTTCTTTTTCTACGTGTGCAAGAAGCTATCATGTGCATTGTCCTTCGGGTGAATGTGTGTGTGCTGTGACGAAGAAATGAAAAGGAATGTCTCTCGAGCCAAGAGAGAAATTGCATTTTGTCCTGTGGTATTTCTCATCATGGTGCAGTTTTGTATGGTTATTAAATGTGAGCGAGCATGGTATAATGTTTATTCCACCTATTTAAAGGAGTGAAAAATGGAAGACCAAACACTCAACAACATTTGGTCCCGTCTGTTTCCTAGGTTCTTGCTTAGGCAACACTGAACAATAATATAGATGAACCAGAACCAGAAGGACATAGATGAGCTCATTGCTTCACTTCCCACAGAGAGAACATTCAATGATGATTATATATGCCTTCGCCAAAAGTTCTGGTTCCTAAGCTTCCTCCTTCCCAATGCTGTCACCTTTCAGCAACACTTCAAAGCCAAAGACCAGGACATCGTTCTGGACTCTCTACCCAAAACAGGAACCACTTGGCTCAAAAGTTCTGTTGTTTTCCATCTTTGATTGCTTCCGCTTCGAAATCTCACCTTGTATGCGTACTCATCACACCATGAGCTTGCCCCTTTCTTCGAACTCACCTTGTATGCGAATAACCAAAAACGCAACCTCGATGACTTAACAGAACCAAGACTCTTCTCTACAGACGTTCCATACACATGCTTGCCCATGTCCATCAAGTAATCGAATTGCCGCATCATTTACATTTCCCGGAACCCATTGGACACCGTACTATCCTAGTGGCACTTTTATTGGCTCATTTTCAGTCGAAGAGCCTGCTGCCAAGAGTAATTTGAGATTTTTAGTGAAGGAAAAACAGAGTACGTATCCTTTTGGGATCACATAGTAGGGCATTAAAAGGAGAGCTTGGAGAGGCCATACCAGGTATTGTTCCTCAAGTATTAGAACTTGAATAAGTGATGTCGAGTTTAACCCTTACCCCTCTTTATGTACCAAGAACAGAAGAAGCAGTGCGTCTAGTTCATAAAATAGTACACTAAACAAGTGATGTCAAAACAAGAAAGTTCGGCGGTAACTGCCTCAACAACCTTACTATATACAAAGAAATCAATTTAAGAAAACAAAACTTGGTATGCAGGTAACTCCTACTAGCAGGATAGATATAAATACAGCCCACAGGAGCTTAATTTATTGGTTGATCAGAAAAGAGGATCCAGGGAGATGGTGAGGCTAGGGTCCTGCATCCCGACAGGGACATCGAATCCCGACAAAATACTGTCACCATACATGATGGCCCCAGCTGCCGCCGCCGCTCCAGCTCCTACTCCCAGTCCAAAACCACGCCCTACCCCGCCACGTCCTACCGCTCCTCCCGAATACGGCATGTTTATGTAGCTCCCCGGGTTATAGTCCGTTCTTGCAAGGGCAGCTGGCAAATAACCGGCCCTTTGAGGTGGGCCCAATGCAGGAGGAGGAGGAAAATGAGGAGTTAGAAATGGGCCTCGATAGCTCGGACCACTCGCCGGAGTGTAGCTCGGCCCTCCAACACGGTGGTCGGCATAGTTCATGGGGAATGGGGTGGGGTGCGTGTAGGGTTGTTCCACTTTCTGTCGGTTTTGTTGCTTGTGAGCGGCGAGAGGCAATGGTGTTGGCCCTGTTGGGAAAGCTGGAGCTAGTGCATTCTCACTGCCCAAGTCGACATGGTGGTTGTTATTGTCCATGAGCATTATTCCTCCTTCATTACCTGCAAAACCCCAACCATATCAAACTATTTCCAATCAAATAATATGAGCTTGAGTCTTGATTTTCTGAGATTGTTGCAGACGACAGAACAATTGATGACCGCATCATTTAAAGACCAATGAACTTCGGTATAGATAGAGGTTCTCTTTATACACCCTTTGTTTTTCTGCCGATTGAATTCAATATTCAATACGACTCAGAATATCAAGTGGAATGAGATGGATTCTAATGCAATGAGAAACTTTTCAAATGAAAAATGAATTTACGATAGGATGGAAAAGATACAAAATCACTAAAAGAAAATGGCCAGAAAAAATTTCTCTTATTTTTCATTTCCATTCCCACAAAAATAAATACTACACTCCCATTTCTAACAAGCATGATACAACATCCATAGAATAACTTCGATCTTAAAAGCTTTTTGGTTGCAGAGAAGGTTGGCATTGTCCATGAACATGACACAAAATCCATAGATGGAATTAATGGATCTTCAAACATTCTCCTACTAAGACTTCCCAGGTATTCTGCATCAAGTATTTCTCTATTCCAGCACAACAAAGTTTAACTTGTGTAATAATATGAAAAACAGCTAAAGAAAAATGTAAGGTACCTGTATAAAAACTTGGTTCATCTCCTTCCTCGGACACGCGAATGGAAACATCCACAAATCCTCGGGGCTTGCCTGAACTTTTCTTCCTCAACTGATAACTCCCCACTTCACCATTCATTGAGCTTGAAGCTTCACCCTTTCTGTGAAGCTTCACCAGAAACTCTCTCAAAGCAATACTAGCCGTCCCCTGGAGCTTCTCTGTCAAGAAAACGGGGTCCCTGCTATAAACTTCAACCTGCAAGACCAGATCTTGAAGAGCTGAGCCGTTGTCACTGTCAAGTACAGTTGAGAACTTGGTCTTCCAAACTGGGTTCGAAGTCCCTGAAGAGTCGATCTTCGTGCAGTACTTGTTCTTCGGATCTGTCCATCCCACAGCAAACCAATGGCGGTTCCACAAGATCGTGGACTGGTTTAGCCCACGAGCTGAAATCAGGCAAACTTCAAGGCAGATCTTTCCCATTGTGGGCTTAGTGAAAGAAAAATCGTTTCTCGCTAAACCACAGTCAAAGAAACTTGTAATGGTGATTGGTGGTGACCCTGGATGGTGAGAGCTTGTTCTTCTTTCTCTTCTTACTTGGATGAAGAAGATGATGCAGAAACCAGAAACGAGGGGGAGAAGAAGGATTTTGCTGCGCCGCTTTGCTGTACTGAACTACTTTACTAATTGTCAAAACTAATATATCAAAGTGCTAATATCGATGCGATAACTTGATTAAGTGATTAAACTCTTCATTTGAATGATTTGGATATAATCATATTATGACATCTACACTTGTATTAATCTTGAGGTTACCTTAGCCATATCACTAATGAAGCATAATCTAGTACATATTAATAGAGTAAGGGAAAATGACGAAGATGGTCCTTGAATTTAGTCCCGATGTGATCCTTAATTATTTAAATTGTTCGATGTGGTCCATGTTTGGATTATATGAAAATATTCGGTGTTGTTCATGTAGTCCTTGAACTATATGTTGTCTCTGAACTAAAATAAATGGAAGGACAAAATTGAACATTTTCATATAATTCAGAGATTAAATTGAATATTTATTAAACATAAAATTTAGAAATCACATTACACATACGGTCAAAGTTTAAGGATCATTAATTAGTGCCTTGTTGAGATTAATTAAGCCGAAAAAAATTAGATAAATGTTAGGAAAAAGGATCTAGAGCGGACGGTTTTCAACCTTTCAGACACGAACTTCACTATAGTCAAATGCTTTTGGGCCACCGATGTTTATCCGGAAAGTTGGAAACAGTAAGGCCTACAATCTGACTAGATCATTGACCCACGTTTGGCGCGGAAATGACTTTATAAGCATCTTCATCGTTTAAAATCATGTAAAAACATAATATGTAAGTTAAAATATTAAAAAGTACATCTTTTCACTTTTATATATTCATATACACTAAGTAAAAAATAAAATTTAACAAGTAGAATTAATTGATATTTACGTCAAAACTATTGTGAATCGAGGATCTACATTATAATGACGTGAAATAATAGTTATACGACTACAATTTAATGAGAATATAATTTTCTTAAAATTATTAAAGAAGTACAAAAAATATAGCCAACAACTGCAATTCCTAAGTGGTTCTCATAAAGAAAGGAATTCTATTCTGGCCAGTTTTTTTTTTGTCGGAATAAAGCTTTACTCAATGACTAAGCAAAACCAAAAAGAGCCCATTGCAGGGGCTTCATTACAGAGCAACTTTGTTTCCTTAATTTTTGTTGAAAAATTCATGATTTGAGGCAAATCCTCTTCTTCAAGCCTCTCCCTCTTAGGCCCAATTTCATGTTTTCTCTTGGACAAGACTACTGCAGACCGCATCATGTATTGGCTTCGACATGTTTGCAGTGAACCAGTCTTTGAGATTGCTTCAGCTTAATAAGCATCAACTGCTGACCGAGCCGTGTGCATACGTTCTAGCTATATGAACATCATTTCAATGTTTTGAGCGCTATCAGAAAGACTTACAAAGTAAAAGGCGGAAAGCTTCATGAATGTTTGGTTATGAAAAGTCTCCAAGAGATTGTTTCCTGCACAACATACAATTTGTATATTCTGCAAATGTGGGAATTTGTGGGGGTGGTGTCCATTTCTAGGACTGGCAATCCGAAGATTAACTTGCTTGATCTTGATGGTCCTCGGATCAAATATTTCGAGCTACTTTAAAGGACTATTTAGATTGCATCATGCAAGCATTTATCGGAATTGCATCTGAAGCGATTTATTTTGTTAACATTCAGAATGAGTGGCACAAAAAGAAGCTCCCAATTCAAGAGTTTATGCTAATCAAGGAGTATCAGAAGTAATAAGCCTAGTATATGCCATTGACCAGTACATTAGTACTTCATTTCTTCAAGGAGTTTATGCTAATCAGGGTTTGGATACATACATTCATTTTGCGAGAAGGTGACTATATCCGGGCTTAAAACTCTTACATTCATCATGCCACGTGCTAGAATAGGCGTGGACGGGGCTGCAAAGCAGATTCAATGATCCTTTTGCGACTCGGAAGTCGATTTAAAGTGGACGAATTAGGAGACTCGTTAAGAAGAATCAGATCTCAACATGCTTGAGCTGATTTTGCAAGTTATAAGCTGCATGGACTCGGTCAGATCTTCTGAATCGTGATGCGTACGCCGTGTTTGGGCGATACGATCATTTGATAAGTCGGAGAATGCTGGTACTTGGGAGAGAGGGAGAAATTATATCTTGACACGATGAGTGAGAGGACGACCTTCAGTTGAACCATTGCGAAGTTCTTGCCCAAGCACAGCCGTGGCCCGAGCCCGAACGGGACATATGCTTGGGGATACTTGCAAGCTTTGGATATGCCATCTGCAAATCTCTGCGGCTTGAACTCATTGGCGTCTGCGCCCCAGAGCTCGGGATCACGGTGTAGTGTCGGGATCAGAGTCCATATGCATACATTTTTCGGGACGTTCACATTCCCGATTTTCGTGTCTTCCAGTGCCTCCCTGGAGACGAATGCTGCTGGTGGGTATAGACGGAGCGTTTCTTGGATGACCATAGTCACCTGTTTATAGAACGAAATTAGTTTGATGGCACGCGAATATGAAATCAAATCGAGGGTAGGAGCTTCTTTGTGACTCAAAAGTTCGGTTTGTTATGACGAAAAGAAAATTGGATGGTCAGACTCGCAATGCATTGCTTACCGCCTTCAGTTGTAGGAGCGCATCAGCATTGACCGTGTTGTTGTCAAAAACTTGGGCCACCTCTTCTCGTATCTGCGACTGCCACTTGGGATGCAGGGCGAGCAGCATCAAGCACCAGGACGCAGCGACTGCTGTAGTCTCATGGCCGGCGAAGTATATGTTTTTGCAGTTATCGACAATGAAGTGCTTCGACGATTCCTTGTCGAGATTGTGATCATTGATCGCCCCTTCCAGGATCAGTTGCATTAAATCCTTCCCCGAAGTCCTCTCAGAGCATTCACTTCGGCGTTCTTGGATCGCCTTCCATATTAGCGACTCTATTTCCTTTTCTAGATTCCTCACTTCCTTCCCATCCTTCGACGGAAGAAATCTGCGAAAAAACATTGGCATATAATTGGCGTTTAAGGTGTTGAAAGATGTAACAAAATGGTCGGTCGGTTGGCACGTACCCGAAAAGGTTGTTTCCAAAGAGGAAGCTTTGCCTGGACATGATATTTTGGAGGCTCCTGAGCTTGGAGAACACCTCTTTGCCCTTGACATAGGAGCTTCCAAAGCAAGCCCTTGAGATCACATCTGCCGATAAGCTCCTCAAGTCCTCATCCACTGTGATCTCTGCCATCTGACCACCTTCATCTTCAATCCTGCCGTCCCATGTCCTCAGCAGAGTCTGCGCCGACTCAATCATCAGTCCCACCATCCCCTGCAAATTCAATTCACATTTCTCATATTCATCCAACTCGAGGGTCTAACCAAGACCAGTCAAGATTTGAGGGTCATATTGACCTTCACTTTCTCCATGAAGAACTCAGGGGCAATGATCTTTCTCTGCTGAGTCCAGCAATGGCCATTGGACCTGATGATGCCATTGCCAAGCATGGGTTTGAGTCTCTTGGAGACGTAAGAAGGCTTGCCCAGCAAAGTCCCACACTGGTTCATCTCCTTCACCAGCTCTGCTTGATTGATGTACAAGTGTTGCCTCGCTCCATTTGAGTATGTGTACATCAGCCCTGCATTTCCCAGGCTCAACACACATTAAATTCTTGCCAAAATCAATGTACTAAGTGTTACCACTAACATTTTCTTGGATACTTTGACCCTATAATAATGTTAGAACTTGCATCATGGGTCGTTTGAATGGGCCAAATAAGTGTTATTATTTTTTTTAATAGAGCAAGTGGAGCTAACTTATCTTTTGGGTCCATCCCACGTCTGTCTTTAGCTCACTCAATAATGCCTATTGTTAAGACAAAAACTGAACTTTTGTTCTCACCTTTTGTTTCTAGCAGCCTTTTCTATTGTAGTCTATGTTATCCTTTGCTTGAGGAGAATAAACGTGAGTAGCTACGAAATAGGCAAGACTCGTCCGGATGTGAAAGCAGAACTAAAGGGAATGGTACTCAAATTTGCGTATTAAACTTAAAGAACTCTTTGTGGAGTTTATTTTTTTTTTAAATGACACTTGAGTATAGTGTATATGGAATTAGCCCTCGGCAAAAAGGGAAAAGAAATAAGAAAATAGTAAAAGAGCCGAAAGGAACTCTTTCATGATCAAAACCCACCAAGATAAGTAGCAATCAAGCAATTATAATCTGTTGGTATTGCATTCGACATCAAATATATCCTATCACAGGCCCCAATCATTCATAGGTCTTTCGGTGCACAGCTTAGGAACAACGTTATTCTTTGATGCAGATGATGTGTCTATAGTCACTGTCAAGATCATCCAGCATTAAAGTGAGGGAGAGGAACATTATTATATTACTATGAAGGACAAATCTTATGCAAATTGCCAACTTGAATTCTTTTTTTTTTTGGGTTGTGGGGGGAATGCGAAAAAGCCTACTTTTAATACAGTTGATGTCATTGCAGTTGCATTGGATCTTATTGCACACATTGTGATTAGTCACAATCAAGCAGCAATCAAAACCCACGTCCTAATTAATGTTTGTTTAGACGAGGCCTTGATTGGCCGCCCGGATTATGAGGAACCGATAAGATAAATGTGGGAAATTTTAGTTGACTTTAATGTGCCGCCCAAGTCGGTAGACACCACTTTCACAAAAACAACAAATGAAAAGATAAAGATATAGAAAAGAAAAAAAATACGTGAACCAATATTATTTTTGTAATCAAATTATGTGAACTTTTCCTGCATCAGAAAGGGGAAGGCATTTGGTGACTTCCAACATCATTAAAGAACAACTTGCTAGTACAGTTTTCTTCGTGACACAAGCTGATGATAGACAAAAGCTGTGATGTTGCAGCAATAAATCCTCACCATATCCAAAAGCCAGGAAACAAGTGAAGTACCCCCCCTCTTTTTCCCTCAGTTGAGGTTGAGTGCATCATTATTTCATGCTTTCTTGCTTTTCTTTTCTTTTGCTGAACTCACTGAGCTCATTTTAATTTTTTGTCACCCATACTTTTTGGCAATATATGTCATCTATAAAATTAAAGAAGTGGGTTATTA